TTTTGTTGCTATGGCTGTTGTTGAACTAGATAATTTAACGAGTAATAAACGATAAATGGAAGGTGAGGGAGGAGAAGTGAAATGTGCTGGTGTTGCTTGTGCAATTGTCGAGGGCATTTTATTGTAAAAGTTTGTATTTTTTTTGCTGCTGCTGCTTCCTCTGTAAATTTTTTTTTTCTTCTGATGTTTGTTTCAACTCGCTTCTGCTAAAATTGCCATTCTTACCTTTTTAAATGGAATGAGCTCAATGTTACATACTTATATCAAATAGAACAGGAAAAAAGAGACGAAGAAAAAAAAAAGGTTGGGAAAAAAATTGGAGGATTATTGGATGAACATCACCAGCATTTCTTACATTTTTAAGTACAGCAAAAAGAGAAGAAAGATGGATGTTGTAAGGAAATAAGAAAGTGAGTTGAGATATAGCGCATTCTTTTATAGTGTTAGAGTAGCTATAGTGGCTATAATCAAGTGACATTGTGTTGACCTACTCTGAGATTAAATTTTGAATGAGAATCTTTAATTTCTGAGAATTTTCAAGATGTATTTAACAAACAAGAGCGAATCTAGGTTTTTGAAAGGAAAAAGACGAAAACACAATAAGATCCTGGCATCTAAGGACTCACTTGGATTCTTGTCTGTCATGAAACTTCACCTGGCAAGGGTGTAGTCAGGAATTTTTGGGGATTTTTTCATTAAAACCTTAACATTTAATGACATTTTACATAGAAGCTGGACGTATCACTCAAATTCTCCGCTCACTCTTCCCCTTTCCTCTGGCTACGCACTAGCTACAAGGTTATAAGAATATTGTAACCATGAGGTCTACATCTACATCTGTATAGACAAGAAGATAGCTTATAAGCAAATGCGAACGTTCAAAAACTGTTCATAATCTCGAGGTAGATTAGATTAAGGAAGTACATGACTAGCTCCTCTGATAGAATTAAAAACATTTGAGCAAAATGTGTAACTTAGTCAGGGTCACAGTAAGACAAAGCATCAACAACAACATGTTCTCTAAAAGTACGTCAAAAAAAATCAGAACAGTAAATTTACAAGTTTTAACACCTTCGAACACGATGGAATTTCGTTCTATTAAAAGACAACTTTGAGTAGCACGAAAAAAAAGTAGAAATGCTGCAATTTTTTTTTCCGGGAGCTGTAGGAGGTGTAATACATTCTTGTACAGCACAAAAGACAGAAGAAAGTTGTAAATCTTAAAGATGAATCGCCTTTTAAAAAAATCGAACACATTCTTCTACATTCGACAATAAAGTGCTTTTAATTTCCCTTCGGGAGATTTTCACTCTTTTTGTTCCTTCGTCTCAAGACTGCCTTTCAAGGTGTCTTAACGTTCTCATTTTGAAATTTATTGAAATTATCGGAAAACGATGGAAAAATATGTGAGTCTCAAGTGTTGGGATTTCTCTTTGTGCAGGTGAAGTTTATTGCATTTCAATAGATAAATGTTAAACATGTGCATATAAGAAATGGTTGAAACATTATAAGACATAAGGATGTGCTCAGATATGGGGTAAATATGTGGATCAAAATCTTGTTCTTTAAATATTTTCAAACTCAATACTTTCAAAAGTTTTTAAGGAAGGGGAATTGACTGTCTGATCTCCTTTCAATGAGTCTGTCTGCGACTTAAGTTGTTCGGAATTGAAGTTTATGTTATGAAGAAAATTTTCTTGCTTCGAGTTGGACCAATTTTTACTGATATTTTGTTAAAGTTCTGCTATAAGTTTTACATTTAATAGAGCATTGATTTCAAATTGACTTGATTCGATGTGTTGCTTTAAACTGATTTTAAGCAGCAGCAACGCTTTACATTTTTCTCAATTTTGCATCAACGCTTTACACATGCCTCAATTTACAGCCACGCTTTCGAATTATTTTAATTTCCAGCAACGCTTTACATTTTATTCGATTTACAGGAACGCTTTACATTTTTCTCAATTTTGCATCAACGCTTTACACATGCCTCAATTTACAGCATATTTCGAATTATTTTAATTTCCAGCAACGCTTTACATTTTATTCAATTTGTAGTAACGCTTTGCATTTGCCTCAATTTTGAAACAACGCTTCACACATGCCTTAATTTAAAGCAATGCTTTCGAATTACTTTAATTTACAGCAACGCTTTACATTTTATTCAATTTACAGGAACGCTTTACATTTTTCTCAATTTTGCATCAACGCTTTACACATGCCTCAATATACAGCAACGCTTTCGAATTAATTTAATTTCCAGCAACGCTTTACATTTTATTCAATTGCCAGCAACGCTTTAAATTTTTCTCAATTTTTGCATCAACGCTTTACACTTCTCTTATTTTAATCCACTAGTAAAAATTTCGTCATTTCCAAAATTGACAAAAAGTTGGTTGAATTGCTGGGCAAACTGCAAAAATTTTCACCAACCAAAAAAAATTAAAATAAAAATTTAATTAAAATTGTTGATTCATACGAATGAATAGAAAGCACTTAGACAATTCTCAACGCAAAACAAGCACATAAACACATAAACTCGGTAATACGTTTGGAATTAAATTCAATATGCGAACGCAAAAAAAAGAAGAAAAAGATGAGAAAAAAAAAAGTATTTTGCGAGATAAAAGCTTAATCCTTTCGGGAATTCATTAAAACAAAGTGAAAATAATCTCTTATTTTCTACTGCTTTTATACAATTTCTCTATACATAAGATGTCTAAGGATATATGCATTCACAGTACGTCATGTGATATTCAACATATGAAGGAAAAGAAAAGGAGATATTTCAACTTTGTCTGAAGTGAAGTGAGAAATTCGTATTTATACGTACGTATGCGGTGAGAATTTGTGTCGGAAAATTCCGCATTTAGAGTTATGGGGGATGAATAACCTCATACTAGAGACAACTTATGATGCTGGTATGTAGACTAGCTTGTGAAATTTGTTATGAACATAAAGAATTGTGTATGCTGTTTTGAGACTCAAACTTAGGATCTTCTTTGTTGAAGTAGAAACCAAAGTGTCTTGTCAAATTAAGGTTAGGGTTCTATTCCTAGAAGCTAGCCCTAGGAATCTCCATAAAGCACAAAGAACGATCAAAATCCAGATGTTCAGTCCCCAAATCTTTTCCTCATTTTTCGTCTACCAATTTATGATTTAAAGCATATCTCGCAGATGAAATAAAGGCTTCAGCCTTTGCCTTCTGTTACTGTGTACTTTATTGCTTTTTCTACCACCCCAGCCCCAAAATTTATCCATTCGACATTTATCCATACATTACTCTGTTGAATATTCCCTATTTGCAGATTTAATTTCCTCATCTGTGTAGCAGCAGTAGCACTAAAGACATTCACATGATACATTCATTTCTACCTACGCTACGGTACCGTCATGTATCAGATGTTTCCCATCTATTTCTCATTCTCGATATCAGATTTTAATATTTTATCCTAAAAACGAAAGAAGAAGTTATGTGTGTAGGCAATTGGAAATGAAAAAAAAGAGAAGACTTTGGAGTGTGAGAAAAAATTTATTGATTTTGTTCAGTTTTTCAATCTATCTATGAACATATATACACAAAAAAAAATACATGCTGACATGCCGCAGGCAAAAAAAAGCATACTTCAACCGCACAATTTCGACAATACGCGAATAAATTAACAAATGAAGGACGCGAAAATTATTCCTGCTGGTGCTTAAATAATAAGCAATACCGAAAATGAGTATATATTTGAGAGTGTGTGCGTGAAAGTCTGTAAATTATTGTGGCATGAGTGGCTGCAATATATTAATCATCAGCAGGGGGTGATTTTTTTTGATTCTGTGGATTTATTTTGGGGAAATTGGAAATGAAGGAAGTTCAAACAGAGTATTGAGAGTTGTTTTTGGTGGTTTTTTGAATTTATGTCCAGTGGTGTGTGGTTTTGGGGTTTATATAAGGGTATATGGACTTTATAAAATACTATTTAGGTTGGAGTCAACATGAGGGCTATAAATTCTTTCATTGATCAAGTTTGCAGTGCCTCCAGCTTGTTGCAGCGTGTAGGAACACATCGCTTGACTGAAAAACCAACATGAGAGCTAAAATGGATCGAATAAGATGTTGTCTAGACTCTTAGGGGAATCTGGGAATTTTTTGAAGAGAAGGGATGCAAATTTAAGCAGCTGAATTGTTGTTTGATCCTTCTTCATGTGACTATGCCTCTAGTCTCTTTAGAGCACCTTAAAAAATGTGACTCTAAAGTAGCGAAAAGTATCACGAAAATATCACGAAAAGTATGAACTTAAAGGTTTGAAATCAAAGGAAATTAAATCCTAGCTAAGTCCTTATCGTTCATTAGGTGCACTAGCTTCTGGATGATTTCATTACAGCATCTTACGCACACGAATTGTGACCAGGTACGTTGCAGGGTACAACAGGTCTGTAAACGTACTCGTGTCTTTGCAATGTGCAGAGCTTGCAAGTGATTCGGATCCCACTATAAACTGTAGGTCTAAAGGGTGTGGTACAATAGATTCCGATCTAATTTGCCCCATCCATGCTTTAATGGTACCTTATCGTTCACGATTGTTTCACTGATACCAACCTATCACAAAAATCATGTCCCATTAAAAATCCCCATCCCTATTCCTAACAGCAACTAATCCCATCCACCATCCAAAATCAAAAACTTTTAATCTTTAAATTCCAATGCTGATGAAGAAAAATCCTCTCATTTACCTTCATTTATCCATTAATTCCCTTAATGATTGTGCTCATCTCCTCATTCCCCCACATTTAACTTGTTGACCAGAGTTTACGTGTAAATTTATGGTATAAAATTACTTTCGTCTTTATAGCAAACGAGAGAGAGAGAATGAAATGTTGACTGAAAGATGTGCTGTGACATAAAACCATAAAAAAAATTCTCGAATAGCACCAAGTGGAAATATCAACCTGGTAATTGTAAATAAACAGCTTTAATTAATGGATATTAATCAGCACCAACAGTTTAAATCCTTCTTTTTATTTTGACATGAATTTACACTCGATTAGTCATCATTAGACAGACGTTTTGCGTACGAATTGATGTGAGTGTGAGGTTCCGGTGGATAAATTAATCGTCTTCCATCCTCATCCATCACACTGTCTATTGCAATGGGACCAATATATTGCATATTAAGTTTAGTGGCAATTTTACTCGTGTATGTGCTGGAACAATTGACGGAACAAATTTTGTAGTCCAAAGATGCAGCAAGTTTGAAGGATTTTGCCATCAATTTTGTGCCAATGGAATTATTTTGGTAATTTGCATCGACAACAAGTGCGTGGACATGAAATGACTCATCTACGCTGAATTTTTCAAAAATATTAGATTCAAGCCTGATTCGAGCATAAAGTTGTAGATATTGAGTCCATTTTTTATTCGCTGTCTTTTTTGCCTCGTCAATTATATTTTCTATGTCAATTTGTGTATCAACACCTGCTATACATGCACCAACAATCCGATTTGTAGCTTCATCAGCAGCAACAATGCTCATTTTTTCATCAAGCACATCAAGTGTTGATGCTAAATCTTCTGGCACTGGATTGTTATTAATCCATCCAACAGTAATCGGTTCATTTTGATAATAATGCGTGTTGAACAGCTCTTGAAGCTCACATCTATCAGCAACTGTCGCTGGTCGGTAAATAATCGATTTTGACATTTTTTTTGTGCTGTCGATGATGAGTTAAAATCAACTGACTATCGATGGACGATTATGAAAATGTTGGAGCTACTTTACTCTATTTTTGGAACTGATTGAGAGAAAGAGAATATGAAGTTAAAGAGACAATTTTGATAACACACATGATGTCATTCATGTCAGTGACTTTTGATTGCTTTTGTCGTAATTTTTATTAAATTCTTTGATAGATACTTCTAAGGGGTCGTTTGTAAACTTTGTTATGCTATGCATTAAACGAATTTTCAGGCCCCTTCCCCCAAGTTTCAAGAATGTAATGTAGGGTTTTGCTTAGAACAAAAACGGCACTGCGATCGATGATCTATTAATACAAAATGTTTTTGGAATTTTTTTGAAATGTTACAAAATCAAAGATCCCCCCCATTAAATGGGGTCTTTCGTAAAACTTGTAAAATTAAAAATGATAATTTTTATTACCTTTGTTAAATGCTTTCTTAAATTTTCTTTATGTCCTATCTTGTAGTAATCTTCAGAGCTCGAAGTCGATGAAATTTTGTATAAAGTCGACTCCGCTATATAAAATCGATGAAAATCTCGAGTAGATTTCGAGCTCTGGTTATCCTGAATAACACAAGTCGGTAAATTGAATAAAATCCAGCACCAAGCTGACATGACTCACATTTTGCTGGGGTCAAATCGAATCCAGCATCATGCTAGTTTGGTGCCAGATTTCTATTTGATTAACTTACTTGTGCTCTTCGGGTATCTTTTTGGTTTAAAGATTCTGTTCAATTTTACTGAATTTTACACAAAATTTAAGTTAATTAGCTTTTTAACATTTAAATCGAAGATGAATTTTAACTCAAACAATTTGAATTCATAGAAATGGTAGATTAGAATGAAATCTTAAGTATAAATGCATTACTAGCTATAACCCTACATTTTCTACAATTTTATCATTTAAAGAAACTTTTTAATTTATTTTTCTCCATAAGTCAAACATCCAATATAAAATATATCCTTAAATGCTTCAATCATTAATACTAGAATATTTACAATACTTAAAGTAAATGATGAATCATTGCTCGGGTGTAGAAGCAGCAACAGTACTCTTTTCATTATGTTAAAGGAAATAAAAACATCGTAACTTTGTAGATGAGAAGGAATTTTAATTAACTTTCGCTCCTCTCAATTAATGAAGCGTAGTGATGAAGATCCATTTCCTTGATACTTGTTGAAAATTCATTCACCCCACTGACAAAAAAAAAACATTATTGGAAGGGTCATAAGACACAAAAGTTTCTCTCACACGATAAAGACGAGAGAAAAAATATTCATCGTCAAATATTGCCGCTTCCTATTCATTTATTCTCGCAATTTAGCAATTAAAAATGAGCGACACTTTTTTCGGCATTTTTCAGCCTAGGAAAAAAAATCTTCAATTTGATGACAAGGCAAGAGAAAAATTGATGAACATGAATCTTCAACATCGTAGACTAAAATGAAAGGAAAAGTTTCCCAAACTCCTGCGTTCCATTGCGTATGCTTCTTTAACAAGGATTTTAATTAATTATTCTGCACGCAGTCTACAGTTATTTTGTGGAAAATGGATTTACATAATACTGAATGATTTGATTGATTTTCAAAGAGATGGAATTTTTTTTGTGTGGCTGGAGGGATTTGGAAGGGATGACAGCGCATTTAGGAATGGAATTTTGATTTGTTTAGATTTTGATATAGTCGATTTAAAGCACCTAGATCTCGATTAAAGAAATCACTGTAGGCTAATCTGCTAGTTTGAGAGTAAATCAAATCTGATATCTGTTAAATAGAGTGTAGTTCATATGGGGCCGTTCACTTATGACGTCCATTAAAAAAAATGATTTTTAGAACCCCTTCCTGTCACAAAATTTCTGGAAAAAATTTCCTTTATTTGAGCTGTCACAAAATCCTAGACCCCCTAAATGTTGGACGTCATAAGTGAACAGCCCCATATGATAGAATTCCCGTATGCAACAAGTCGGATAGTCGAATAAAAATCCGGGACCATGCTTGATTGATTCGATTAACCGACTTGTGCTATTCGGGATAAGTATCGTTCATAACCAACTAGCTCCTGTAATGTCGTGAGCATTATGCGAATTCTTGTCATAACGACATTACTTATTGATAGATCGGTTTCTGGTGGAAATCGAACCCACGTTTTCACAAAAGATGGCTACACATATCCAGTCTGTTGCCTAAGAAGCATGACTCTTGCACTTGCTGAATCGCCTTTATAATGCTCGATACCCCAGATTCCATTTAGCTCAGACACCACAGCTTCTAAGACAAAACGATCAAAAATTATGTTCGCTCAAATTTTTCTTATTCTTCATCTTATTCTCCTTTTAATGAAGACAAAGGAACGAAATTAAAATGATAATTTAATCGGCACACAAAATAATCGTCCATGTCATTGAGAATCTCATTTAGGAATTGCACAATAATACAAAAAAAGAAAGTTATTAATTGCGAACTCATTATTTACATGAGATAATTTTTTTTACGCAAGAAAAATGTGAAAAAGGGGAAGAATTGAGGAAGAAAAGTGAAAAGTATCCATAATGATGATGATTTCACAGCAGAATCATTAACTGATGAGAAATGAAAATAATCTTCGAATAGAATTGAGTGGTGGCATGCAAGAAATATCATCGCGAATTTTTTTTTCTCTCTTCTTATTTCAGCTATTTTGCGTAATTTTCTAACAAGCTCATCTCTTTTTTATTATGTATATAAAGGCATGAGATATCAGTTTATTGTTGAATGAGAGACGCTACCCAAAAAAATGCTAATGGAATGAGAAAATGTAATCATCATTTTTCAATTTAATCAACTTTACAATATCGGCAAGGATTTTCGTTTGTGCTTTACGACGAGAATAAATAAGTTTGAGGATTTTACTATGTTTTTTTTGTGCTGCTTCTTTTTGCTGTAGCTTGATTTTGTGAATATTTTTGAATACTTAAAGATGTTCAATCACTGACCTTAAAAACATAGCTTGGCGAGGAGCTATTTTTGGAATGGATTCATTGGAATATTGTGGATTCCAAACTTACTAGATACATTGCTCGTCGCAACGTGTAGTAACACACCGCTTGGCTGGAACCCTTTTACATTATTAGATACATAGGTGCATATTAGTACCAAGTTGAATGTGGGGATGGCTATAATATGATCATCGATGACACTTGGAATGAACTGGGAGCGATAAGAATCAAGAAACCTTCTTAGGTTCAGGTGCATAGTCAGGAATTTTTTGGACATGACGGGGTTCAACCTTTCGAGCTGGGTAGTGAAGTCTCGATTTATTGCTCATATATTTGATAAATTTTAAGCTTTAAGAAAGGATGGAGTATTGTGGACACCTCATTTGACTTTCTACGCGTAGCTGAGAGAAGATCCAATGGATTTGGATAATTCCAGTCATCCTTTTAGATACGCCTATGAATACGTATCTGAAATCAAGTTTTAAAGAAGATAACACAAGCTGTTGTAGTAAAACAATAGCGTAAATGGGAAAAGTGGTTTGGTTTCGCAGAAATCATCCAACTTTAAAGCAGCTATGCAGAAGAAGTGTAGATAACTTGATTCTAACCTAATCCAACAATTCTAATTGATGATTCCATGTATTCAAACAAGACATCCATAAATATAACACGACAAAAAAAAGAAAGAAAAATTGTAGGCACGAAAATCCTTAACAATTTTTTTTTCCCTTCTCATCCTTGCTTGTTCAAACATTATCCATTTATTCTTGCATTATCAGTTTGAAGCATTATTAAAATGTCATTTTAAAGTGAACTAAAGATTTTTCTTTTCATCTCATGTACTCAGCACACAATTCAGTTATATTCACAATTTTTTTTTGTCTCTCGTCTTGTCTTGTCTTGTCTACTCACTCCATAGCTGAATGAAAATTTCCTGCGTCGGTTCTTGCACGCTCCGATGTGAAAACACAATTCCTACATTAACTCTCATATACACTTCGCATTTTTTTAGTCTTGTCGTTATTTTTTTTTAAATAAAAGAGATAGATAGATGGATAGATAGATTGTTGGGTATGGCAATGCAAGCATTAGCAAGAGTGCTTCATTCTTATAAATTTTATTTTTTTCTGTTCTTTTGTTCATTGTTATTTCTGTATTCCATTGCGTTCAGTCAGTGTGGATGGAGCTGTGAATATATGTATGAATATCAAAAGGGGGGAATAACATGGTGGGAAACAGTTTTGATGAGAAATTGGAAGGAATTATGCATTTAAACTATCAAATTAGCCTTGTTGCTGCTGTATGATCACAGTTTAATATAAAACATGTTGGGATTGATGGGAATCAAACCCACGTTCTTAAATAAAGTGATTTTTAGTGAATCAGCAACCGGTTCCTCCCACTAGTGCAGTCTAAGTACTTGACACACTTTATATAACAGTCATACACATACTAAGTATTAGCCATGGACGTACACCGCAATATACAATTCAATCCACTTCATAATAGGCCTAGCGACTCTTTGAATTATTTACCATAATGTTGTTTCCCCTCTGATGAATATACATTATAGTGAAAAAAACTGGGTGATACAAAAAAAAAGCCGAACTAATGCTACATCATTAATATTAGAATAGCTTCAATTAGGTCTCTGTTATTAAGGGGATTGTTTGTTATTTATGTCACTTTTATGCTGATGATGCAAGGAATTCTTATAAATTAGTCAATCATTATGAATTTCCTTCCTTCCTTGAGATCGTCCTCGTTCTCTTTTCCTCATTTTATTGATGCCATGCGATTTTTACATTTCATGATGAAAAATGTACACAAAATTGACAGTCAAATCCCATGGTGAAATTTTGCAATTCATCAACCATTCTCTCGCTCTATTGTTACATTATAGAATAGAGAATCCATTTTTTTTTCTCTTGATGGAATCGTCATTCGTGTAAATGGAATGCCATTGCTGAATAAATGTGTGTCACTTGAACTATT